GTTTGATGAAAAGAAGGACTAGGGGAGACATGAAAGCAGTGTTCCAATATCTCAGGGATTGCCACAAAGAGGAGGGAGTCAACCTATTTTCCAAAACACCGAAGGCAATACAAGAAACAATGGATGGAAACCAATCAAAGAGAGAAGCAACCTAGAACTAAAGAGAAATTTCCTAAGGGTGAGAACAATTAACCAGTGGAATGGCTTGCCTCCAGAAATTGTAAATACTCCAACACTGGAAGTTTTTAAGAAGACTTCTTTTGTGAAGAATCTCTGCAATGAAATCAGAGATTTTCAGTATATATAATATATGCTCTTTTTAAAAAAGTCACATCATGGGGCTCACAGCTTTTGAAGTCCCATTCAGGACATTCCATCTTGCTTCTATGGTTTCATCTGGAATTTCAAATTTTCAGGATTATCTATGCAACTTCAAAAGAAATACTTACTTGCTTCCTTCCTTCCCTTCCTCGTAAAAAATGATTATCAGCTGTTTTCTGGGCCCAGGGATTCTCTACCCCAACAAACTTTAAGATATGTGGATTTCAACTCCCATAATTCCCCAGGTCAGCATGCTGAGTCCCCATCCTGGCTGGAAAATTCCACCCGTTTTAAAGTTGCTGATGTAGAAAAACACTGATTTAATCCCATACTTGCACAGCCTATTAACATAATACATAGAATGTCCTTATCTCATTCCAAGCAAAATTCAAGAGTCTTGTTGGCAGGACAAAGACATCTATTGACATCAAATTTCTCACTCGATTTCTATCTCAGCCTTTCAGAGGGAGATTCTGGAGTCTTGTTCTCTCCGTCCCCCTTTCCCCTTGGCCACTGTCTATCTTACGAGGACACAAGTGTTCTTGTTCAAATGTCCCACGTGACATCAACTTCTAACCTCCTCCCAAATAACAATTGTAACAATCAGCTTTCTATGTCTGATATTTCCCCTCATTTTTTGAAGGTTTCATGGCATCCTAACAACTTGGCCCAATGGCTACAACATTATCTCTGTTCAGCACACCATGGACAGACATCACAGGGAAGATATCACAAAGCATCAACTCACCTGTTTGGAGGGTGCAGAGCTCCGGGTGACCTCTTCATACGCTCCTACATCCTTCCAGGTGACAATGAAGGTATGGTGCGGGACAAAGTTGGTGGCTGTGGGAAATCCAGCTTGGATAAACTGAGCCGCCTGCTCCAGGACTTCTCTGGAATCATCCAGCCGGTAATAGATTTTACCTCGTCCGTGGCTGGTGTCAATGTCTGAGAGAAATGGAGCAATGGCAGGGAAATCTGTAGGGAGGTCATCGTCCACATACTGGGTCTCTCTGGGGAAGTCCTGAGTTGAAATGATCCCATTGGTTCCAACCTGTCACAGCAGTCAATGAAAGTATAGCGAGATAAATCACATCCACCTTTGAATGGTAAATGAATAATTTGCTCAATCCACTAAATAGCACATAGATTTATATACTGTGCTTTTACAGCCCTCTCTAAGTGGTTTACAAAGTCAGCCTATTGCCCCCAACAATCTGGGTCCTCATTTTACCCACCTTGGAAGGATGGAAGAC